AAATAAATAAATAAATAAATAAATAAATAAATAAATAAATAAATAAATAAATAGTCCGTAGACTCAAAGTACCCCACTTCCTCCAGTGACATATTTCCACATTCCAAGGATGCCTCATGTATCTATAAAATCCATCAGCCAGAAAAACCTGTGGCTACTCATAATGTAATTTTTCCTGCAAGTAACACAGAGGAACTTAATAAATTGGTGTTTAAATTTTATGTTTCTGCAATATTCCAAGAAGAAAATAGTTTAGCGGTTTCATATTTTAGAAGATATATGTCTTCCTGGAAAAAAGTCTTACAGAATTTCTAGTCAGGGAGACAGACCATGGCTTGTTCCCTGCTGAAAAAGGGGAGAAGACTTGGCTTATACAATGTGAGCCAGGAATTCCTGTAACAAAGTTACCCTATCCAAGTTAAAAGATCCAATATATGCTGCTTTCTGCACCAAACTAAACAACTCCAGTGCAAGCAATTACAGTTTGTTACAAATCCTAGTTGCATCCCAGTCTGGCTAGAAGGAATCTTTCAATTTGAACAATTGAAAGTCCCTTCAAATCCTAGCATTAACCTAGAATGTTTAGATGAAATCTTGCCTTTAGGGCCATTCCGCTATCAGTCCTTCTAATTGGGAATCAAACCTTGCTAACTAGGATGGCATCTTAGACATTAAATGATGAAAGATTCCATATCCCTCCAACCACCTTGCTTTGCAAATTCCTATCTTCATCTAGGAAAGTATATCTTTCGCAGTATGAAAACAATCTTCGTTGAAGCAGTCTGAATGCTTTTAATCGAATAGTTTTGTTCTATTTTTTGCCTTTACAGATACCCCTTGGCCACTGTCTTCTCCTGGCATATAAACACGTGCTGTTTCTAGATAGCACATCAGGAAAACCAACTAGAGTTCAGACATCAGTGATATGTGATTCTTCATAAAATCCCACCTGTGCTGCTTAGACTTTCAAAGGGGCTTCTCAATCCAAAAGATTAACAACTGTAGTGGCTATCATAGGTAACTGTTTGTTAACAATCAGAGAATAATGTCTATCACATCAAGTAATAACGAACAAGTGACATAACTTACAATAGATGTAATACTTTATAAAACGGAATAGAAGACACTGCTGGGATTTCATACGATACTTTAAAATATTCCACTGAAACCATTACAGATCCCAGTACCCAGACAAGATTAATTGTTTTCTGGTTTGAACAAGAATTAATTAAAGGGAAAGCTATTGCTTTGGAATTTATCTCCGGCAAGGAACAATCTCTCTTCAATTTGCAATGGCAATTTCCAGAGAGATATGCTGATGTGTCAGGTGGAGGGAGCTTTCTGTAAATTAACCAATGATCCTTATGGAGCGTAAGTCAGCAAATAATGTGATATGGAACTAATCATATAATACACAACAAAATTCACCATTCTGTTGGACTTAAGTAATAAAAAATTATGTGAGGAAGTATTCGTGCACATTTCATGAGGCAAAATTCCTTTGTTATAGTAGAGGAACAATGCTTCTAATCTTTAAAACATCAAAAATATTGTATGTAAGGACCAGAGACCTCAAATTGAGTTTCTTGAAAAATACGTTATGTTAAAAAAAATATAAAATATCTCTATGAACTTGTAAAGCTGAATAAGAAAAATTATTTTCAAAAATATTTTTATTGAACAACGTAAATTTTTTTTAATGAGCTAACATTAAAAATATAAAGTTCTTATTCATGGGAAACTGTTATTAAAGTATAATTCTTTTACTCATTCTTTCCTTTTTGTTGCCTTTTTCCATGTGTGAAACCCAGTGCATAATACAAATGCTTTCAAGGACTTAATAATTTCGTCTTTTACGTGTATGAAAAGAAGAGCTGCAGCCTTCCACTCATTGGTGGGAACATGGCAACAGGCAGAACACAGTTTCTCCAGGAAAGACGACTTGATTGCAGCATTACATGTTCATTTACATTCAATAAATTTTATCCAATTCAGTTTGATAAATTGATTCTAGGAAGTCTGGATTGTAAAGAGAAAGCTTTTAGGGACAATATCCTTGTCCTTCTTAAGAGGCAAAAAGCTTGATGAACTGAATGAAATTTAAACTGGATTTAGTCAAAAAGATAAGGAACGAACTGTTTCCTGGTATCAGAGATCATGAACTCTGCTCATCTCAATCTTTGGAAAAAAATAAGTCCAGAAACCATGTTAGTCACAGGAATATATAGGCCACAAATTTGGTTTTGCTGGATCTTTTCTAAGGGAGGCACCTTTCAGATTACTTGAATTTGATCTGTTCTCTGACCTGGTAACCAGGATCATTTTCAGGGTTTTTTTAAAAATCATTCATATGGGAGGATGTCTGAATAATTTAATTTTAATTTTAACATAAACTAACTTGATCCATACCTTTCAAATAAATGAACAATTGAAAGAATTATTTTTGCACTTTTTCTGAGTTTTGAGATTAAAGAAAACCCATATCACATTTATTTTAATAAGTATTTTAATGTAGAGCGGGTTTTTTTGTTCACATTATCAATACTGCCATAGCAAGAGATTTGATCATAGTAGTAAAGAAGCAGGTTGCTGTCTCTTCTCCTACCATTATTTCTATCCTATGTCAACCTACCAATTTATCTGCTGCTGTTTATATGCATCCCAGGTCTCGTTATCTTCGCTCCAGTGCAGTGGTGGGATTCAAATAATTTAACAACCGGTTCTCTGCCCTAATGACTATATGGGTAGGTGGGGCTTGGTGGTCATGTGACTGGGTGGGCGTGGCCAACTCAAAATCAGGTCGATGGGCGCTTCGCCTTAGNATGCACAGTATATATGTGACTGTATGAAATGAAAATGAAAATAAACATATTTATACTGCCCTAGAATAAAGCCTAAAGCATTAATGTGGGTGACATTATTGCTTCCGAATCCTGAAAAAACTTGTGACCTGACACACAGGGCTGAGACAAAGCAATACAGCATTTAAGCACATAAGTCCCCATTTGTAACCTGACATAACATAGCTGGAAATAATGAGGCCTAATTCTCCGGAAACAAAACAAAAACAAAATTCAGCTTCTTAAATTTTTAACTGGTATGTGAAAGATTAAAAATGAAACATACAAAGTGTAAAGTATGTGGTCTACTACTGACCTAAAATTAGGGCACAAAGGAAGTGTGTATACTAAGAGAAGAGTTACTGAGGGAAAACTATAGGAATGGCAGAGCCTAAACTCCCTCATATCCTCTGGGAATGAAATTGCCCCTCCATTTTGCAGAAGAATATATTTTCTATTGTATTCTATTAAGTTCTATTCCATTCCATTCTGTTCCCTTCTGTTGCACCCCACCCTATCCCATCCCATCCCAACCTGCCCTGTGATTCTATGTCATTTTGAAGCAGAATCAACTGGCATCAGCTGGCAGACATGAAATGTTCGAAACAGACATTTTTGGGAAAGAAAAGAAGGAAACAGACACCTTCACGAGAGGTTCTCCAATCACCATAGAGACTGGACATGTTTTCTCATCTTGGTGGGACGCATAGGCATCTGATGCCCACTGATCCACATAATCTTTTGGGGTGAAGAGACCGCAATCCACAATGCTGTTCCTTTCCTCAAACGGCTCACAAATGCCATCATTTTCATGGACATAGCATAGACTTGGTTCGCCTGCAATAGTCAAAAGTATGCCAGGATGATTAATCTCAAATTTTATATCTATCATTTAGGTAGAATCTTCCTCCCTCTCCTCATGCCTGAAAGGTACAGTACATTTTCAAAAGATCATTGTGAACAGATGAAGAATTCCAAATCCCATAAATATTGAACCAGGGAAATTTGGGCGACGTCCTTTTAAATGCCAATTATTAACATTGTTCTGATTTAGATCCGAGGTGGCGCAGTGGTTAAATGCAGCCCTGCAGGCTACTTCAGCTGACTGCAGTTCTNTATTCTATTCTATTTCTATTTCTGATTCTATTTCTGATTCTATTTCTGATTCTATTTCTGATTCTATTCTAAATGTCAGGGCTACCTGACATGGGCTGCAAACATCCAGGTAACTCATAGATGGCAGCAAAGAGCAATGGTAGCCTCACTATTTTAGATTCCGCTCAGATACACTTTTGTTGCGCTTTAACTCCCTACTCTTTCGCCATAATAACAGGATTTTGTGCAGGACATTAGCAACCTATGAAAAAGCCACAGGTTTTCCATTTCTGCATTCTACATGCATTCAATATTTTGCACCTTGAACATATGGATAAAGTTTAAAAACGAAGAGGCAAGTTCCCGTGTGGCACAATCCCAACCCAAATTAGGAAATTGATGTCCTAAGTGGCCATACCAAACAAAGCCTAGAATTGCTTCTTAAATAACAGATGATCTTAGCTTCTCTTAAAATTCTAATGAGAGAAAAACCAAATTATCTTTCTTGCCTTTTTTTTTTTACGTTATTAGCTAGAACTGACAAAGAGACTCTTTCTTCTATGGGCAAAGTTGATGAGATCTGGGACAAAAGTCCTCACATTCCCACTTAACCTGACCCTTGAAAGGACTATAGAGATGGTTCTTCTGGACAATTAATGTGTTCTGTTCAAGAAAATCTGATGAATAAATCTGATTTGGTGTCAGAGTTTAATAGAGCTCCTTTGTTTGGGCCAATTAAACCAGTACTTTCAAAGAGGCCTGAAAACTTCTACAAGTGAACATTTTCAGTTGTAACCTTCTGATATTGGAAAGCCCTCGTGGGTAATTGTACACCATATTTATTGTGTTCTGGGGACACAGAAAAAGGGACCCAGACATCTTAATCCTTGCAGCCTTCTGGTGCGTTAAACATTATAGTGGTTCCTAACTAGCTTTTTACGGCAGCTTTTACTTTCTGTTATGGCTTTTAAATGGTTTTCTTAGTCTTGTTTTATTTTATGGTTTTGTGCTGTATTTTATAAAATGTTTTGATTTGTGTTTTTAATTACTCTCTTTAAGCTTTTGATTGTAATTTTTAATTGTAAAACCCTTCCAATTTTCTTTTAATGGAAAGCAGCATAAAAATGTGAGGTCCCCCCCCCCAAAAAAAAAAAAAAATACACCCACCAGCACAGGCTGCCTCACCATACATGCTGGCATATGTTGAAGCTAAAATCTATATATTTGGAAGGAAGAACAGGCTTCAGGTTTGCTGGAGGTCCTTTGCTTTAGGCTTTCCCTGGATACTAGACAAAAATCTTATCCCCCCCAAAAAAATAATTTGTGCAGCTGCATTTCAAGACCATTTTTCCTTAGTTGCTTATCAACTTACAGATTTCCAAGATAGCTTACAACATAAAACCTGTACTTTGCTATCAATACATCAGTGAAATCAGTTCCACTGAATGTGAACACGGAATATAAATCAACTTACAGTCTAACAAAAGCCATCTGTGTAATAAAAGTAGCATTCAATAGTAAAACAAAATCGGAACAAAATCAAATTGATCAAAATTTGGAGACTTAGCAACTAGCTCATATTTATGACGGTTGCAATGTCCCGGGATCATGTGATCATCTTTTGTGACCTTCTGACGAGCAAAATAAATGGGGAAGCCAGATTCACTTATCAACTGGGCTACTAACTTAACAGCTGCAGCGATTCACATAGCAACGGTGGCAAGAAAGTTTATAAAACAGGGCAAGGCTCATTTAACAACTGTCTTGCTTAGCCACAGAAATTTTGGGCTCAAAAAATTTCAAAAGTCGAGAACTACTGGTGCCTAAATGTGCATGTATGTATGTGTGTATGTATATATGTATCCAGAGGTGGCATTCTACCAGTTCGGACCGGTTCGCCCAAAACGGTAGCGGAAATCACGGGTTGGCCCCCGGGATCTATGGCATCCCAGTTACGTCCTTTTTTCACCAAAAGTGCATGCGTGGAAAGCTGTGCGCATGCGTGGAGGTGGCATGTGCAAGTGAAACTAGTGTGCACACTCATATTTGTGAACCGGTAGGGAAAGTAAGTGTATACCACCCCTGTATGTATGTATGTATGTGTGTGTATATATGCGGGGGAAGTGGGGGTGTGGGTGGGTGTGTCTGGGGTGCGTGGGTGTGTTCCAGTGGTGGGATTCAAATAATTCAACAACTGGTTCTCTGCCCTAATGACCAGCTAGGTAGGTGTGGCTCCGTGGTCATGTGACTGGGTGGGCATGGCCAACTCAACATCACTCAGATCAATGAGCTGTGACAATGTAAAAAGGGTCAACCGGAGAGGCAGTTTCTGTAAGCAGGGCAATAAAGATGAGGCTAGAAACCACACCAGAATGTTTCCTTCCTGCCTTCCTTACAGGATTAGCCCTGTAAAGTGGGAAAAAACCAAAAGGAGATTTCTTCCAACAGCCGGTTCTCCAAACTGCTTAGAAAGTTAACAACCGGTTCTCCTGGATAGGTGCGAACCAGCTGAATCCCACCACTGGTATGTTCTCAACTTAGTTGACCACACTTGAGCCCATTATTATATGGGCAGGCAGGAGGTTGCAAAGGCCAGAGACTCACAGTGAGAAGGTTCTTGAGCTATTAATAAGCCTGAAAATAAGCCTCAATGTTTAAGCAGCTTCGTAAGGACATACACGGCTCATTAGAAAAACTGTGGCCATTTCTTAAGGCTTTAAAAGCTAAATCCTGCACTTGAGTAGTCTGGGAACAGATCAGCAATCACTGTAGACAAGATGTAATACAGAAATCTATCTGGTCCCCAGCCAAGACTTATTCGGGAGCATTTTACAAATTTGGTTTTCTTGTTATCCATTTTGTGCTGTGGCTTTCAGTGCTTCAATGCTTTATGGGGCTATTGTCAGAGTTTGCCACTTTTATTGTGCGCTGCCCAGAGGCCTGTGTTAACTGGGATAGCTTACAAATGATGTAAATAATCCAAATAATAAATAAATATTCCATCGATGCCAGGGGAAAATAGAACCATTCAATTACTGCATTTCTGGAAAACCCAACGGCACAAACCAGAACAAACATTGTCCGGAAAGACAGCCCTGTAGTCAATTCATCTGGAGATAACCTGCAAATTTTTAATACATTTTTTTTCCCTTTTAAATAAAATCTATAGTTCCCCCCGCAATAAAATTGACTTTGATGCTGATTTAATATGAAACCCCTCACCAGGCCAGCTTTCTCCGCTGTTTAACTGCAGGGCCCAATGATCCAATTGTTTCTTTTTTGCACACACAAATTCTTGCAAACGCTTCTGCTTAGCAATCCGTGCCCAGAGGGCACAGGGCTGGAAATGGAAACAGAAGTTCCCCCACTCTCCACAAGTGCCAAACTGTCAGAGCCCACTGCGTTAGCCTCAGATCTGCCTTCTATCTCTCTGCTGCACCAAGACAAGCTTTTTGGATCTGGAAAAACAGAAAGAGACATTTTCGCTCGCCACATGAACAAGCTCACAGACTGCGTTTCAAAAGGAAAGTGTGGGTGGCGGAGAAACGGCTGAAGTAAAAGTAAATAAAACAAAGCAGCTAATCAGAAGAATCCGTCTCCCGCCAACTCTGAGCTGGAAGACAGGCTTCCACATTGCTGCAACATGTCTGCTCCTTAGATCAACCCACTAACGGAATCCTTGTCTTACAACCACGATGGAGTCCGCTGTTCAGAACTCATTTCAGAATTCATTACAGGGCGGGGCATAACCTTTTCCTAGGGGGTCACAGCAAGATCGACAGCAGTTTACAACTTCCGCGACACCTCATTTTAAAGCCCATAAAAAACTGAATTGAATGAGCTATTAAATGTTAAATTTGCTTTAAGAATGGCTGGAAAATTCGATTCGGAAGAACAAAGGATCATTGACAGAATAAAATGCATTGCCTTTCGAGAGGCTCGCGATGCTGGAGCAACAACAATGTCGAATTTTGGGGCAATGACGTCTGGCCGGGAAATTCGCCAGATCTCAATCCGGCAGAGAACATTGGGGCCATAATTAAGGATGAAGTGGAAGCTCTGATGATTCAGGAGCAAGGTCAAAATCGATATTCGGTTGAAACTTTGAGAATGAATTTGGAAACTGTGTTGAAAATCTGGAAAATCGAACGGAACTGTTTGAAGATTTGTTGTGTTCTTATCCACCTCGTTTGAATGCTGTTCGAAGGGCTAATGGTGGTCATACTGACTATTAAATCGTGTCAATAAACTCAGTTTTTGATGGGCTTTCGAATGGTGTATGAATTATTTGTGTTGTTATTACAAGTGTTGCTGTGACCCCCTAGGAAAAGGTTATGCCCCGCCCTGTACAGTCATCGACCAGAATAAAAACACGATTAAAAATTATAGACTAAAATAATAAATAACAGATGATATCCATGATAAAATCCAGTCTATCGATGGTTGTTAAGCGAGACGGCTGTTAAGTGAGTTTTGCCCCATTTTACAACCTCCCTTGCTACCGTTGTTAAGTGAATCACTGCGGTTATTAAATGAGTAACATGGTGGTTAAGTAAATCTGGCTTCCCCATTGACTTTGCTTGTCAGAAGGTCACAAAAGATGACCACGGGACCCCCGCAGGACACAGCAGTTGTCATAAATATGAGTCAGTAGCCAAGGGTCAAAATTTTAATCACGTGATTATGAGGGATGCTGCAATGTGGTCCATGTGAGAAATGTCAGCATATTGTCCACAACAATCTGGGTCCTCATTTTACCGACCTTGGAATGATGGAAGGCTGAATCAACCTTGAGCT